AGGTACGGGTGGATTGTGAAGTCGAGGAATAGGGATGCGGAGTGCCTCTTGCTGTGGGTTCCCCCATGGAGCAGGAGCGGTGTGTGGTGGCCAAGGAATACTGCTGTTATTGGTGAGGTCCCGGTTAAGCTGGATGTGACCTACTTTGAACATGGGACGAGATGGAATCGATGTGTGGAACCATTAGAAGATTGAGTATCTGAGATGTAATGTACAATCTAGAGTATAATAATATTATGAACTCGGGGCCGATTTGGCCCACATTTTGCGTTGGTAGTCGAGGATAATTGGGATGAAATCGAAGAGCCCAAAGTCCGGCCAGTAAGTGTCAGTGTATTGAATTTGGGTATCTTCGCAGCACTGAGAGGGTGTGTAAGCCCGTTGAAGGATGGAAGAGCTCAAATAGACGTGCCTGCCAGAGGAGGTAATCGCTCAGCCGCTTTACACCGCTCGTCCGAATGAGAATGTCTAGAGGAGGGCTTCCACCTAGGTTTGTCAAGAGGTTGTCGTTGATGTCCTTTTCGGTAACAATGCTAAAACGCGTGTCAAAATGTCTCTGGGACAGAAACCAGGAGATGGAGGACATACCAGTCGGTTTCTACTGCTTTTCGGACACATGTCTCAACTGAGGTTGTGATTTCGTCCCGAGATGTGTATGGCATGCAGAGGTTGAGAATGGATCTACCGGTTCAGATAAGGCTCAGAGTCGGCACAAGAGTAGGCTGCCACGTACCTTTTATTCTGTCGCGTCATAGCTTCTGCTTTTCGAATCGCCGCTTGCACAGGTTCTGGGAACATTTCCGTTCTTCCAATGACGTTTAACCGTACGCCGTACTCGTCCAACAGGTTACTAGGCAATGATCAGATATATTCTGCACAATCCAATCAGGGAAACTCACCCATGCTGACACAGTTCGAGCAATTTATCTTCGGCGAGTTTCATGAGTGCATCCACTTCGTCCGGGGACCGCTTAAAGTTCTCGATAGAAAAGGCATATGCCGAGACGCAACGAATATTGAGCTTCAAGCATACTTCCAGAACCTAGCCCGGAGCTCAGATCAGATACCAATCGCCCTTGAGAAGAACGCACCCTACGCAACGCCACGAACCCCGCCGAATGACCCTGTTGTATTTGTTTGTTATGCTTCCGGGCATACCGCCTGTTTCCGTCCATGACAAAAGCAACATGGCGCGGGATGGGTCCTGCAGCTAGGACTTTGAGCGCGAAGTCTTGGACATATCCAAGCAGAGAATGGGGGAGCCAGCCTGATGTCATGGTGGGACGAGGAAGAGGACGATGATACGTGTCCGATCACGGTGGCAATGCTTATCGGTTAGATGACCTTGGCGCCGCTCAGTTTGGTTAGACTACCCCTATCTTCTTTTTGCGACTTTGAATTGATTCAGGTATTGCCGGCGGGACTGAAGAATGCTTCCAAAAGCATGAAAATGCAAGGATAATATCATTAAATATCACATCAGGCTTTCGATCGACGGTCGCTGATACAACGAAAAGATAAAAGTACTGAAATTATCTTCGGTGGGTACTAGGAGAATAAAGGAAGCGGCAGGGAGGATATGTACAACAGTGAAGAGAGAAGATGGGCGAAGAGTGACAGATAGATGAAAGCAGACGGAGATGATTATGGGAGAAATGTCTACTCGTACGCAGCAAGCTCCACGTCGGCCTTCCGAGCTTCCTCAGTGACAATCGCCGCAACATTGCCGTGTCGAGGCACGAGCAAAAAGTTGAACGGCTTGGGCTTGATAACAAGTGCAGGGATGATGTCGTCTTTCGACGGGATGATCGGCTTCCCTTGGCTATCCTTGGTTGGAAGAATCTCGTAGGCCCAAAGCATCCTGCCGAAGACGTCGTCGCATCGAATTTCAATAAAATTATATGAAATATGCACTCACTTTGAGACGATGGAGAAGAGCGAGTTTTGTGCGACGTGCATTCCTGGGCAGACGCGACGTCCAAATCCGAACACAAAGCTGTTTGGCAGCTTGGGATTCTCGATGTATCGATCCGGGCGGAAGGTTTCAGGATCAGGGAACATCTGGGGACAATTAGCCTCGTGTTAGGTCATTGGATTATCAGCAGCTTACCTCTTCGTTTTGGGTGATTGAACTAGCAGTATCCAAACATCGTCAGCGCTAGGACGAACAACAGAGCGAATAAGAACGTACTAGATGCTTCCAATGACAGTTGTACCTTTGGGAATGAAATGACCCTTGTACTCATCATCCGCAATCACAGAGTGGGGCACAGCGATGGGCGCAATTGGTCGCCACCTATATCCTTCTAAGCTTCGAAGAACAAAGACGAAGTTTGACGACATACCTCATAATCTCTTTGATTAAGGCGTTGACATACGGCAACGAATCTCTATCATCATACTCTGGTAGACGATCCCGGCCAATCACACGATCCAGCTCTTCATGAGCCTTCCTCATTGCTTCGGGGTGGATGAGCATGGCCACTATCCGAACATAACAACAGGCTTTAGCGGGAACAAGAGCCATGTACAATCCTAGAACACTCACAAAGGAAGAAATCAAGGGTAGCCAGTGTCTAATAGGCCCGCAATTAGTCGACCATGAAACAAAGTTTTTGCGTCTTCACTTACCGTTCCAGCACCAGCACCAAAGGGCGATGCCAAAGCATACGCAGTCTCGAGATCATCCAGCCCAAAAGCACCCTGCTTCTCAAGTGCTCGTGTAGCAGTAGACGGATAAGCCAGACCCTTCTTCATCCGCTCCCTGACCTCTTCCATCAACTCTGTCAACAGCGCGACATCCTTCTTGTAGTGCTCTTCGGGCTCGCGGCGGTACCATTGCAGAGATTTCTAGCATCCAACATTTCAACACTGGGGCTTGCTTCTAAAGAGTTGGTTGCGGAAGTAGCTTACCGGAAGCCAAGTAAGAATTGGGAACTAAATTAAGACGTGTTAATATGTGCCAATTGGAAATGTAGCTGCAAATGACACTCACGATCTCCACGAGGAACTTTCCAGGGACCCTAGATCACCATCATGTTACTACCATTCCCTGCATGAACGAAATGAGAATCAAAGCAAGCCACATACGTCGAGTTGATATAATCTAAACGTGCAAAGTCACACAATTCAGTCAATTTCCAATGAAGACTCCCGAAGAAACAGATACCCACATTCATCAATCTTCTGCTGCTTTACAACAAGGTGGTCCTCCAACGTCTTGATTCTCCGTCCATACGCCACAACAGTCACAACGGAAACTGCATACCTGTAGGTGACACACATACCCCAGTTAGCGTCTAATCCGAAAAGTTCACACACGCATACACGTAGATTCACAGATACTGCACCGCCGACAGCGGGAGCATAGGAAAACACACAAATCACTCAGAAGAAACCAACACATACCGTCGAATGAAATCAGGGAACTTCTCCGGGGAATCCTGATTCTGCAGAATATCTCGCAGCATAATCTTGGTTTCCGCACTCTGGAGAGGCTTGTACGCCGCAGACGCCTCGATGCTCATACTTGCGTGCATCAACTACAAACTGCGATCAGTCTCGGGAATGAATGTATAGTGTCACACATAAAAGGACTTACGGATCTCCAGTTACGCCATCGCTGCCCGTAAGGCATGCCGAGACCACGCATATTCCTGCAGAGGATCTCACCACTAGATATGATTCGTCAGTCACCCATGCAGTTTGTGGTTTGCAGACCTAAAAGGCCCGGAGGAATAACGCACGCTACGATGAATCGAGGCCTACTCGAATAGATGTTACCCTTCTTCTCCAAAAGATCCGTCACCGCATCCAACGACCCCAGCACTAAACCGTGATAATGATCAGTTCAGCTGCCAGCAACACGCAGGCTCTCTCCAATGGTCGTTCCTACGCACCAACAAGAGGCTTCCGTCCCAGGTAGAACGAGATAATTGAACCTAACAGGATTTAGTTCGACGATTCCGACAGCTGACGATAGAGAGCAAGACATACCATACTTCTTGTTCCAGTCATGGAACGCCTTCCAGTTCTGCTTGAATGCCATATCACCTCTGTTGTCCAGGAGGATAGGCCGAGGTGGACCAGGAGGGAAACGTCGAACGCGAATCAGGTAGAGCACCGTCCTCACACACCATGTCGCGAACAGAGCACCAACGATACGAAGGAACACACCCATTGTGGCTATCAGTTAACAAACTCTTCACAAAGACCCAGAGAGTACGACGTTGAAGGGAGGAGAAAGCGGAGGAGGTCAAAACGGTCGCTCAGCAACAGTTCAAGGGAAACGGAAACAAAACGCGAGAAGCAGTATCTGGAGATGGGAAACCCACACCACTTGCCGTTACCGCTCTATTTAACCGAGGGGTCAAACTAGAATCAGAATCCATGATGCTAAATCCTAATTCTCTGGTAAAGATCGCAGCTAAGCGGCACTAGTGCTGCACATCCAACACTTCTGCACAGCTGGTTGTCGTCCTGTTACATATGCACGATCGCCGAGTCCACATACGATCTAGAATAGTTACATGCCTGTATAGCGGGCGAATTCTCAAGCTCGTGGTCATCAACAGACTTTGAATCACATACCGATGTGCTTTGACATCTGTTCTTCCTTCTTCATCAAGAAGCATTCCCTCCATATGTCCATGCCGGTGACAACCCACTCGGAGGGTGAATTTCGCCGTGGACCCTGAAGAACCCGTCAAATCCAGAAGCAGCTGTTGGTGGAGACTTTTAGGATAGACGAGTTGCCTGAAAATGTCCTCCAGATGACATGGACAGCCAGGAACGTTGCAGAATGCGGATAACAGACAAGTCCCATCGGTCGGACAAAAAGGAATGCTTCCTCATAGTATTCGGCTGCAATGATCATTTTATGTCGCTATCTCACTCAACTTCGCCAAACAGGTCTACAAATCCAAGAATCGGTGCAGCCAACAGGTAACAAGATACGAAATGAATAAAAGAAAAGGATAAAAACCTTGGTTCCTACATGATTCCTTCTAGCCGACTCGAACGACTGACCTCGTCATAAGCTGTAAGTACTAGTGACGCGCTCTACCAACTGAGCTAAGAAGGAGATATCAGTAGCGGCCCCGTTCGGTCCGAGCTGGACCTTGATAGGGGACTTCCGATTGACCCTGAAAAAAGACCAAATTCAATCGATCGCAACGAAGGTGATCCCAAATGCGAACGCTCTGCGATAGGCGGCGAGAAATGGAAGACCCAATTGGCTCCTTAATGGGTAGAATTAAAATGCAAAGCTGCCCAAAAGTTTGGATGTCATTAAGGTTAAAGGTCAATGACAAACCCAACTGTCAAGAGACAGATTCGACGGCCGGAAGCACTTGGTAAAATTGAACATACACAGTCAGGACTATTATGCACTGGATCTTGGTCCATCATGTCCATTGAAACCAAAAGCGTTACGAACTTCAACATTTCTGAAGGAACAGTACAATTTGTGGGCAAGAATCTACTAACACACCGGTTGGCGGAGTCCGCAGACCCCATAGCATCTACCTGTTTTTGCACGATGTAGAGAGGAGGAGTGCCATTCGAACAAAAAATATCCAGATCCACTTGGTCTTCCACCTAGCCGACTCGAACGACTGACCTCGTCATGATCACATCAAACACCGCGAAGTCCAATTTGATTACAAGTGACGCGCTCTACCAACTGAGCTAAGGAGGAACATGATGCCTGCTACCCTCAATTTCCCAGCCGACGCCTAAGATAATGTACAATAGGGGGTTTCACGGCGGCCAAATCGCCATGTGGAGTTAAGTGTTTTATGAATTATCCTGACAGACAATTGGCAGTGGTGTGTGTTGTGGGACCACATCAGCAATTCCGGACGGTCACCCACCAGGGCCAGTGGACCTCCAGGTCCCCACCACACACCGGAGAGAGGGTTCGGCGACCAGAGGTTTTGCTTGGAAGGTTATGCATGTATCGTGGAGCTAAAATGTAGTATGTACGAGTGATCCGAAAAAACATATCAAAAACAGAAAGCGACCATAGTAAATAGCACGGCGACGATAGTGTATACGAACGAGAATGAGACTGCGAGCGAGCAAGGGACAGAAACGGCAGTATGCGAGAAAACAAAAACAAAAGTAGTGGTTGATAGTAGTTCAACTGTTCATGAAAATCTAACAAAATCTACGAAACCCCTCCCTTTTATCCACAGACGACGCATTGTCCAGCGTCAAATCTACAGCTTACTCGATGACTTCAAACCGACTCTTCTTGCCCGCCGGCCCTTCAAGTTCACTCCCATCCTCAAGCCCCCTCTTCATAAAGTTCATCGTCGTCCCCCCACTGTTATCACCAAAGTTGATCCCAACACCATACATCATCGTTCCCCCTCCCATTCCCCCTCCGGCACCCATGCCCATGCCCATGCCCATGCTCAACCCAGTCGCAGTCGCAGGGGTCTGACCCATCATCCCAAACGACGAATTTGCAGACGCAGGCGACGAACCCGCCGAATACTCTCCACTACTTCCACTCCCACTCCCGCTAGCACCCAACCCCTCACCATTAAGGAAATTCTGCATCATAACCGCATACTGATCGTTTGAAAATCCCATCGCAGCCAACGGATTCATCCTCCCCTCAAACTCCAACCCTTCCACTTCCTCTCCTCCGGCGGGCCCATTATTACCCCCGGGCGAATTTCCACTCCCTCCCCCATTCCCACTTCCATCGTTGTAAAAGTTGAAGTTGAACGAAGGGTTGGCAGACGAAGGCTGGGAGGAAGACAAAGGACCGAGGGAGAGCGACATATTCGGATCCATGGCCCCATCCATTAGCTGGTTCCCTCCTCCTCCCATCAGACCCTGCACACCCCACTCTCTTGAATGCGCAGCCAAAGCTTGTTGAACGCCTCCATCCGACAGGGGTGGTATACCAGGCCCTCGGGGGACGCTCTTCGATATGCGTTGGATACCCTTGAGATGGATGAGATGCTTCTCGAGAACGTCGAGCAGACCTTGCTTCGTGAACGGTTTCGGTAGGATATCATTCATCCCTGCAAGATTTTAACATCATTAAAATAGCCCAAGAAGAAATGGATGAGCAAGAGCACTAACCGGAGGAATAGTAAGTCATGATTTCATTAGGCTTTGAATTACTCGTCATGGAAATGATAGGCGTGCCCTGATCAAATTTCCGAATCATAGACGTCGCCGAAACACCATCCAACTTTGGCATAACGATATCCTACGAGAAAGCCCCATCAGCATCCACCACAAACTCAAGATTAACAAAAAAACATACCATCAAAACCAAATCATATTTTTCCAAATTCATCTTCGTCACCGCACCAACCCCATCAACAGCCACATCCGTCGTACACCCAAACACCTGCAAGAACTTGCTGCTCAGCTTCCTGCTGACCGCATCATCGTCCACCAACAACACCCTAGGTGGGATAGCCCACGCAGGCACAAACGTCGACCGCCGTACCCTCAATTTCTGCGACCCCGACCCAGACCCTGAACCAGCAGACGAAACAGCCTGCGCTCCAGCAGCCTGCAGGACCAACATATACTCATCGTTGTCCCCAACACCACCCGCCCGGCCTTTCCCTTTCGCCCCTCTCCTCCTCGCTAAAATCCCCCTCCCACCACCAAGAACACCTCCACCGCCACCAGATCCAGCACCTCCACCGTCCTGCTTGGACACACCAGCTCCAGCATTCTCGTCAGACGAAACAGCAACCAACGCCCCATTCTCATCAGTCACATTCTGAGATGGCCTCACAACCTCTTCCTCCTCATAATCCTCATCAGAATTACTCCCACTTCCACTCCCACTCCCACTCCCACCTGCCCGCCTCGCCCTCGCCCTCGTCAATCGTCCCCCATCCGCATCTACACCGTCATCCCCACCTTCCCCATCCCGAGACGTCGACGCAACAGACCCAGAAGTAGACGCCATCGCCGGCGAATCCATATTCCCAATCCCCAACCCAGCCAACAGCCCCCCACCCGCCAAACCAGTCGGATCAAAGCTCCAGTTCGCGCCCGACGAATTGGCCGAATTCGAGGCGTTGGACGGGGCACCAAAGACACTGAAAGAATCCTCCGGATACATCCCCCGCGGCATCAACTGCCCAACAGTGTACACTTGCAGCCCTTCATGCAGCATCGAACTCTCCATCGCCGACACATTGTTGTTACTGCTGCTGCTGCTACTGTTATTGCTCATGTCGTTGTTTCCATTTCCCCCAACTTTCTCTCCGAGGGCACGGCCAACACCAGGATCGACCCCATCAACACCCCTTTCCCGACTCATATCACGTCCAAAGCTCACATCCGCGGGGCCAGTACCAGTACCAGTACTCCACCTCCGACCCTTCTCCCTCTCTCTCTCCCTCTCCCTTTGCACCTCCTCGATCTTCGCCAAAGCCTCCGCCCTAGTCATCTTAGGCGGGGCCATCCCCTGCTGCAAAAGCTGCTGCTCAAGGCCTCCCCCCTGCCCACCCTGCGCCCCACGATTCCATCCTCCCAACCCATTCCCACTAGCATTCGAATTCCCACCTCCCCCTCCACCCCCAACACCAGCAGGCGGCGGCGGCACATACACCGGCCCATTGCCCGCACCACCACCATTCGCCGAAGCCCTCCTACTCAACTCGCTCATCTGCATCAACGTCGCCCTCCCAACTTCATGCCCATGCACACCCATATTCGCCATATGCGCAGTAATAGACGGGTCCCGCTGCACCTGCTGCAGCCCTTGTCCTTGTCCTTGCTGCTGGTGGTACTGCCCCTGCCCCTGCTGCTGTTGATTCTCCCCCTCCCCAGAAGCAGCGGCCTGCGCAACCTTATGCTGCTGCACCGCTATCTGCAGCTGCGTCTCCGTCGCATTCAGCTGCTGCTGATGCATCTGCGCATGCGCCTGCACCTGTGCCTGCAACGACGCCAGCGACGCACTGGGGAGCGTTATCCCCGCCAGTCCCGCCGGCAGCCCAGACGTTAGACCCGCTGACCCCCCTGACCCCGACGGCCCACTGGAGCCCGCAAAGGGTGAACCACCAGATCCGGCTTTGAGTTTCGCTGTTCGAGGACAGGATAGGATCGGATTGGGTTAGGTTGGATTAGATGAGTCGAGTCGAGGCGAGGCGAGTCCATGTTCCCCAAATAGGCAAGATGCGACGAGACGAAGAGATGGGTCCAGAACAACGAGCGGTGACATTCACGTCCGTATTCGTTCGTGTAGTTTATGTCGCGTCGTTCGGTACACGCACGAGCATACGTCCAGTCGTTCAACATGCGCACGATCATACGTTCAAGAGCAACGGTTGTATAGGTTGAGAGCAGATATGAAAAAACAATTCGTCAGCGTTCATTCTTGTTTTAGCAGAGAGAGGAGGGAATGGGCGGGACGTAGAAAGAGTGGAACGAGTAGAATCAATGAACAAGAAACAAGAAGCAAGAAACGCGCAGAACGAAATCGACAGACTCGTTCCGCCGCAAAGTAAGAAAAGGTCGGGATGCCATCTCCCCATCCACATCCACATCCACAAAACCCAACGAAATAAACACGAAATAAGAAATCCGAAACGAAAAGAAACGAAAGGAAGCAAAGCCACGACGAAGCCACTCGCCGCAACATCAACCCCCAAATTCCAATCGCTATTTCTACATTAACACAAAACACAATTTCTCCACCAACATTCCATCGTCCCCGCCACCCTTCTTCTTCTTCCCCTCATCCATAGTCGAGTTCTGCAAAAGGAAGTCCCGAATCCTACACTCCAATATCCTTCCATCGACCTATTCCTTCCTAAACCTTTCATTTCCTTCTTATCCCCGTCGTCGTCGTCGTCGTCGTCTTATTCTCTTGAATGTACAGTCGTGAATGTAGATGTGGGCGGTGTTGGCGTCCGTGGTGATGGCGCCGGTGATGGTAGCAATTGTATCGTGGGTCCTGCAAGTTGGAAGGGTACGAGCGGGCAAGGGTCCGAGAGAGTCCGAGCGGGAGGTCCAAGCAGGCAAGGATGTCCAACAGGGTGCGAGCAAAGGGGCAAGGAGTCTCCATCCATCCACCAAACCAACAACATCCACCAAAAGACAAAAATAAAACACCCCAAAAACTAGAAAATCTCGAAACATAGAACAAGAATCAAGTACTAGAATTACAATTACAACGAACGTACAACTAGCATCAACCAACGTATTACACCAAAACACTAGGCAATAGCTAACTGCGGTAGAGCGTAAAACGTAAAACGCGAACATGAACACGAACAAAAAATGAACAAAAATGAATATACAACCACCCCGCCCATTCCTAACTCCTGAACCCCGAAATACTCGGCAAAACCGGATACATGATCCCCGGCGTAGGCTGCTGCTGACTGCTCCTCATCGTACCATCCCTCATCGTCGCGTCCCTATCCCCACCCAACCCCAACCCCAACCCACCACCCCTCATTCCCTCCCTCTCCGCCTGCGCCTTCTGCAACGCAACAAGCGTCGCAACCTGCTGCTGCGTCAGACCCTGCGCACCCGGTCCAGACAGGATCGGCTGCAGCGCCTGGCTCGTCATCAACGGTGACTCGCCTTGCGATTGGGATAGCGGGGATTGTGTCTGTTGCTGTTGGAGGAGAAGTTGGTGCAGCTGCTGCGAGAGCTGAGGAGATCCTTGTCCTGACCGACTTTGTTGCTGCTGCTGGGATT